TTTTTTCCCAATTTGTGGGTTTCCCAAATCACTCTGTTGGTGATTTCTTTTTTTTTTTTTTTTTTTTTTTTTTAGGTCTTTTTGAGACATGGTCTTGCTGTGCAGTTCACACTGGCCTTGAGCTCACTTTGTAGCCCAGGCTGGCCTTGAACTTGCAATGATCCTGCTGCCTCAGCCTCCCAAGTTCTAGTATTACAGGCATGTGCCACCATGCCCAGCCCTGGTGATTTCTTTTGATTTGCAAAAATTTTTTAATAAAATAGATCCCAGTTGTTGATTCTTTGAAGTATTTCCTGTAAAGTTTGGTTTTTGTCCATGAACTCTCTACCTACCTCTATGTCTTTAAGATTTCTACCTACTTTCTTTTCCAGTAGATTTAGTGTTTGTTTTACTTTTTTTTTTTTTTTTTCCAATACCGGGAATCAAACTCACAACTTTGTGCTTGCTAGGCAGGCGCTGTGCCACTGAGATAAATCCCCAGCCCCTTGTTTGTTTTTTTGAGACAGGGTCTCACCATGTAATTCAAACTAGCCTTATAGCGCAGGCTGGCCTTGAACTCAGGGCAATCCTCTTGCCTCAGACTCCCGTGTGCTGGGAGTACAGGCATGTGCCACCACTCCCAGGAGTTTTTCTATTTTAATATTTAGATTTTTTATCTCTTCTGACTTTAGTAAAATGCTGTTTTGGTTCATTCACTCATTCACTCGCTCAGTATGTTTGTTAAGTAATTACAGCTAGGTACTGGCTACTGTTATAATTGCTCTGGACACAGCAATAAACAAGATAGACAAAAATCTCTGCCCTTGCTGACCACAGTGACACAAACCAGTAATCCCAGCCTGGGCAATTGAAGTGCACTTAGGAAGACCCTGCTTCAGAATTTAAAAACTAAACTGGCCAACCTCCTGCCTCGGCCGCTGAGTACGGGGCTCGCTGGTGTGTGCCACCATGCTTGGCTGTTGCAGGCAACTGTCCCACTGACGAAAAGCTAATTAACACAGGAAGTGCGCTTGATAAATGTGTGAAAAGCAAGGACGGGGTCAGAGATGGCAAATGGACGGCAGAGAGCGTCTTAGCGGACCTCAGAAGCCCTTGCGATGACTTCAGCTTTTGCTTTAGGTCAAGTGAGCAGCTGTTAGAAGGCTTTTTTTTTTTTTTTTAATCAGCGTCTCTCTATGCAGTTCAGGCTGGCCTTGAGCTCATTTTGTAGCTCAGGCTGATCTCGAACTTGCAAAGATCCTCCTGCCTCAGCCTCCCCAGTGCTGGGGTTACAGGTGTGCGCCACCAAGCCCGGCTGTTAGAAGGCTTTGAGTTGAGTAACGACAAGTGACCCGCTTTGGGAGTCTCGGGTCCTACAGAATTCCCTTGCGAATGCGAGGGAAGAGGCCAGAGGGCTCGCAAACCGGCCTCTACCGCTCGCGGCGGAAGGCCAGCCCCTTCTACCGCCGCGTTTTGCCCGCGCCCCACCCCAACGCTGCAACGCCCCAGCGCTCCTCTAGGTGGCAGTGCCGCCCCGCTCACAGCGGACCGCGTTCTGTGCATTCTGTCCTCTTCTCAACGCCGCTGGTCCTTTCCGAGGCGGAGGGAAAAGCAGACGGTGCTCACCCGTCCTGCCCACGCCTCTCCCGAGGCCTCCCCGCTCTGCAAACAGCCAGGGACCAGCCAGGCTAGCGAGGCCACCTCCCCACTTCCAAGACCAGCGAATAGGAGCGAGGGCGACGGAGCAGGGCCCTCCCTCCCTGGCCGCGCTTCCCTGTGTGCTCCTCGGCTAGACTGACACGTTGACACGGCTAGTCTCTAGCGACAGTCACTTTACACACAGACTGGAGCGAGGAGAAAGCCTCACGCGCATGTGATGGCCCCGTGCTGCAGGCTCCAGGACAATGTCCTCTGCACTCAGGAATCTGTCGCGTGTGTTTCTAGGAAATGTGGCAATGCGGTCTGGGTTTTGGGGGGTTTTTTGTTTTGTTTTGAGACAGGATGTCATCATGTCGTTCAGGCTGGCCTTGAACTCACTATGTCACTACGGTCGTTGAGGCTGGCCGCAAACTTGCTGTGATTCTCCTGACTCAGCCTCCTGAGTGCTGGAAGCACAGGCGTGTACTATCACCCCCAGCTTGTTTCCGGGAAATGAGCCAGCTTCCTTCCCTGGGCTCACTGCCACCTTTCTGGGCTCTGGCTGAAAACAAGGTACCATCTTCCTTTCCCTCCCCTTCTCCCCTCCCACATCCATCATCAAAATTGTGGTTAAGCCTGGCTCTGCAGCACATTCCTGTGATCCGCTCCCTGGTACTCAGGTGGTTGAGGCAGGAGGATCAAAGGTTCAAGGCCAGCCTGAACAACTTATCGAGACTCTGTCTTAAATTTAAAAATAAAAAAGGAGGCTGGGAGTGTAGCTCAGTAGCAGAGCACCCCCAGTTCAATCCCCGTGTAGCAAAGAAAGAAAATTGTGAGCTGGGTGGGGTGTAATCCCAGCACTCAGGAGGCTGAGGCAGGAGGATCGTTGCGAGTTCGAGGCCAGCCTGGGCTAGAAAGTGAGCTTAAGGCCAGCCTGAGCTGCATAGTGAGTCCCTGTCTCAGAAACAGACCAAAAATAAATAAATAGTGTGTTAAGGGCACAGCTCCATGGTAGACAGCTTGCCCAGCCCGAGGAGGCCCTGGGTTCAGCCTGCTTTTCTTCATTGCTTCTGGGGAGAGACACACCAAAGGCCACAGGTAATCTAGAGAGCTGGTTTGGAGGTTCCGGAAGAGGAATGCAGCTACTCCTATACCCTTGACCGAGGAACGGTCCTCCTCTATCAGGGGTGGTCGTCCTCTTGGACCCAGCGCAGCTTCGGGAGGGACGCACGTGGAGCGTTGAGGGAGGAAGGGGACACCCGCCTAGCCAGCCAGCTCAGCCGGATCAACCCTGGCGATCAATAGGGTGACAGATGTCGCAGCCAGATCGCCCTCACATCCGCCACTGGAGATCTAGACGCGTGAGGAAAGTTGGCCGGATGTGGTGGCGCACACTTGTAATCTCAGCGCTTGGGAGGCTGAGGTGGGAGGATCACCGCGAGTTCAAGCAAGACTCTGTCTCAAAAAAAAGAAACCCAGTGTGTGAGGTGACAGGGAGGAAGGGTATTGTGGCGAACCAGAGAGTTTATTGAAGAAGCCTCACTACTTCACAGGCGTGGGGATGCCCCAATGTGGGCGAGAAGCCAGAAATCTGATGTCATTTTTGGTTTTATGAGTGATGGGTTTTGGTATGTTGCCCATGCTGGTCTTTTTGTTTGTTTGTTTTTCCGGTACCAGGAATTGAACTCACGACCTCGTGCTTGCCAGGCAGGTGCTGTGCCGCTGAGCTAAATCCTCAGTCCCATCCCCCCCCCCTTTTCTTTGAGACAGAATCTCACTATGTAGCCCAGGCTGGCCTCCAAGTCACAGCGATTCTCCTGCCTCAGCCTCCCAAGTGCTGGGATTATAGGTGTCCACCACCACACCAGGCACCCATGCTGGTCTTGAATTTGCAGTTTTACAGCCTCAACCTCCTATGCAGCCGGGATTATAGGCATGAATCACCACCATCCGCAGCTTGATCTCCGGGCAAATGGGGATTGAACTGGGGACCTTCACACTGAGCTATGCCACACACACACACACACACACACACACACACACACACACCCGCTTTTGAGACAGGGTCTTAGTCACTAAACCGCCTGGGCTGGGCTCAGACTTGTGATCCTGCCTCAGAATGTAATTCCAGAAAGCTGGGATTAGAACCGTGTGCCCCCACACCCAGCTACTGATGTGTTTTTAATGTGAAACAATCAAAATTTAATACTGGCTACATTTTTTGTTTTGTTTTGTTTTGGTACCAGGAATCTAACTCAAGACCTTGGGCTTGCCAGACAGGTGCTGTGCCACTGAGCTATATCCCCGGCCCCTTGGCTACTTTTTAAAAAAAAAAAATGTCTTAACCAGGCTAGAGCTATAACTCAGAGTAACTAGTATGTGCAAAACCCTGGCTTTGATTTCCAGCACATGGACAGAGAGAGAGAGAAAGAGAGAGAGAAAAGACCAAGTAGACTCTGTCCAGGAACCGCAACTCATGGACGGCCCGCTTTCAGCATGCAGGGTCCCAGCTGGAGCACAGGCTTTTTTTTTTTCTTTTTCTTTTTGTCTTTTTGAGACAGGGTCTCGCTATGCAGTTCAGGCTGGCCTTGAGCTCACTTTGTAGCCCAGGCTGCTCTCGAACTCGCAACGATCTTCCTGCCTCAGCCTCCCGAGTGCTGGGATTACAGGCGTGCGCCACCATGCCAGACTTGCCGCACAAGCTTGAACGACCGATCTAGCCGCATTGCTGCCGCCTCCTCTTCGGTGTCCTGTTTGAGCCGTGCACCTGCGCAGTCAAGGCGAAAGTCCCAGTGCGCATGTCACGCCCTCTCACTCTAGGGTCACCCGCAAAGTGAATCCAGATGGTTCATGCCGGCTGTGACGCTCGTCTCTCTCACTGACTCCAGCCACCCCCTGAGGTGCTGTCCCACGGCAGACACCCCGCAGCCCCTGTCACCTCCGCTGTGCTCGGCACACACCCGCTGTAACGTCTACTCAGAGACCCAATGGTCCCTGGCAGATGACCATGTCCTATTCCTCTGTGCATCGGTGAGGTACCTACCACCTAGAAGGGGGCTGGAGAAACATTATGAAACAAAAACACACAGTGGACACATCTGCAACCCCAGCTCCTCAGGAGGCTGAGGCAGGAGGATCGCCGACAGTTTGAGGCCAGCCTGGGCTACACGGTGAATTCAAGTCCAGCCTGAACTGCATAGTGAGACCCTACCTCAAAAACAATAAATAAGTAAATTAAAAATTAAAAAAGGTTGGCGAAGTAGCCCCTGGGATCAATCCTCAGCATCCCTCCCCCCAAAAAGAGTGTTAGGGATTAGCTCTGTGGTGGTGTCCCTAGGTTCAATCCCCAGCAGGGGAGGGGTGAATGGTGACTGTTAGCCTAGTAAAGTAAAACCAAGGGTGTTTATTTCCCATTCTGCTATTTGTAATTAAGACCTGAGAACCCTTTTGATTTTCTTCTTTCCCTTCATGGGGGCTGACAGGCTGAAGCTGCCCAGGGGCTTGGGGTGCCCAGGCAAGCTGGTCTCTGTCCCCATGGGCGCTGCTATGGGCAGGTCTCTGGGCTTCCTGGGGCTTCCTTAATCCTCTTGAATTTCGATTTTTGTGCACGTTTCCTTAAAGAACCTGAAAGAGAGGTCAGAGAAGGTCCTGATGACATCACAAGCAGTAAAAGACGCCGGGCGTGGTGGCACACGCCTGTAATCCCAGCAACTCGGGAGGCTGAGGCAGGAGGATTGCTATGAGTTCAAGGCCAGCCTGGGCTACGTACTGAGTTCAACACCAGCCTGAACTGTATAGTGAGACCCTGTCTGAAAAAGAAAAAGAACGGCATATGGAAGACGTGGTGGGAGCAGAGAGAAGAAAATAAAATCTTATTTCTATGTCCCTTCCTGTCTTCTTGCTGAAACCCTGGGAGGTAGGGGGATGGCTTCACCCCCAATTTACACATGAGGACTCCTGAGCAAGCACAGACCAAGGAAGTGCCCAAAGCCTCACGGTGAGCTAGGGGTACAGTCAGGACCAGACCCGAGTTTTCTTGACTTCTGGCTTTGTGCTGATTCCCCCCTATTCCTTTCTCAGGGCTCATCGTCTGAGTCCCAGTACTTTGCTGCTGGGCTGTTCAAAAACACCACTGCCAAGTATCAACCTAGAGGTCAGGTGTGGCCAGCTGTGGGGACACCAGCTTGGATCTCAGCCCTCGCAGGCTGAGGCAGCAGGATCACGAGTTTCAGGTCAGCCCAGGCTGCACAGTGAGACCCTCCCTCGAATAAAACCAAAAACCAAAACAAAACAAAAAAGGATTTACGAACCCAGTCCTTTTCCAAAGAAACACCACGCAAGATACTTTTAATTGCGGGGTGATTTGGTGAATAATCTTAACCCACTCACTGTGGCTTTCCTGGGACTTAGGAGCTCTCTCACATGACAAGAGAAAGAAGACAACCTCATCTCTAACCCACCCCCGTGTTTAGATCCCCAAGACTTTCAAACTAAAAGCCTGTTTCTAGGTAGACAAACAAGTGCAAAAAAATGCCAAAAGGAAGCAACTAGAAAAAATCAGGAAGCCGGGCATGGTAATCCCAGCACTCGGGAGGCCGAGGTAGGAGGATTGTTGTGAATTCGAGACCAGCCTGGGCTACAAAGTGAGCTCAAGGCCAGCTTGAACTGCATAGCAAGATACTGTCTCAAAAAAAAAAAAAAAAAAAAAAAAGACATAACCAGGTGGAATGCATGGCTTGGGAACAGTTATCTCTGAAATTTAAATATGGACTACTTAATCCAACTATGATATGCAATGAAAATGCTGACCTGGAAAGGTTGATGCCACTAACTAAAAAAGCAAGTCAGGCTGAGAGTGGTGGTGCACACCTGTCTGTAATCCCAGCACTCGGGAGGCTGAGGCAGGAGGATCACTGCAAGTCTGAGGCCAGCCTGGGCTACAAAGTGAGACCCTGTCTCAAAAAAAAGACCTACAATACATTATACAATGTGGGCATTGTTAACAATGGTGAGGAAAATGTGACGTTGGTGTTTTCTTACTTTTGCTTGTCTGTATTTAACGCTCCATGTATATAGTAGTGAAAATGTTCACTGCATGAAGACCAAACCTCTGAGACACCGTCCAAGGCTCTTTCTCATTCCACCCTTCTATGCATCTCTCCATCCACTCTGTCACTGCAGGGCCCATCCCCTCTGCACACACCTGCCTCCCACTCTGCCTCCTCTATCTGCCACCTCGGCCTTTCCCGTAGGCCTGTCCCCGGCCTTCCTCCTGCAGACAGCCCGTCCCGGTTCCCACGCCCTTAGCCCTGTGGCCTCGACAGCTCATCTGTAAAAGGGGCGCAGGGATGACCGCTTCATCCGGACGCTGCAAGGACCATGTGAAATGAAGGTGCCCAGACCTGGCAGAAGCCCGCTGCGGTGGTGCGCGCCTGCGATCCCAGAAGTCTGAGGCGCTGGGGCAGGAGGATGGAAAGTTTGAGCCCAGCCTGGACAATTTAGGAAGGCCCTGTCCTAAGAAATAAGGGCTGGGGCGGTAGCTCAGGGGGAAGGCTGGGGTTCAATCCCTAGTACAGGCGGGAGACATCTGGCACCTGGCGGAGAAAGAGCTTAACCTGGAACTCATCTGATTCACGGGCTGCTCGGCCACGGATGTCTTTTCCTTCTTATGCTTTGCAGTGGAGGGGACTGGGGATTGAACCCAGGACGCGCTGAGTACATCCCCAGCCCTTTTAATTTTATTGATTGACTGATTGATTGATTGTCTTTTTGAGACAGGGTCTTGCTCTGCAGTTCAGGCTGGCCTTGAGCTCACCTTGTAGCCCAGGCTGGCCTCCAGTTTGGGATGATCCTCCTGCCTCAGCCTCCCGAGTGCTGGGATTACAGGATTGCGCCACCACGCCCGGCTCTTAACTTCGTTTAGACACAGCGTCCCCCTCAAGGTGCCCAGGCTGGGCTCAGCCTCCTGAGCGGCGTGCACCCCTTATCCTGCCTGCGCACTGCAAGCGCCTCCTGGCCTGGCCCGGAATCCCCCTGAATCTCTGACTCCCGGCGGGCGCAGCCCAGGCCTTCTGCCACCGCCGTGTTCTCTCCCGCTTGTCCTGGGGACCGGGTGCGCCTGGGGAACAGCGCGCCGGAGGCCGCCTGAGCCGGGCTGCCCTGGAGGAGCCCCAGCCGGGCGGGGCGTCAGCGGAGCCCCAGGATCCACCCCAGGCCACCTGCTTACCTGTCCCTTGCCCAGCAGTGAGCGAGGATCGAGGGGGGAGCCAGCCGCGGGGAGCGGGCACCAGCAAAGCCTCCGCCCCGCCGGGAGGGGTCCCCGTGGGCTCGGCCCTGCGCCGGGGAGGGGCGGCGGACCCGGCTCGCTGCAGCGCACCCG